TAATCAGAAAATTACTGAAAAAAAAAGAAGACAAACTCCAATAATTTAAGTCACATATTTGAATTTTTTTTACAATTTGTCAATAAAAATTTTGGATGCATAGTTGGTTAAAAAGAATAAAGATTATTAAATTAAACCCGAAGCTAGAAGGGGTGGTGGCGCAGTTGGCTAGCGCGTAGGTCTCATAGCTTCTCTGAGTTATCCTGAGGTCGAGAGTTCGAGCCTCTCTCACCCCATTTCTTTTCGTTGATTGAATTATATTTTTTTGATGCAATAAATTCTTTTAAATTTAAAAGAATAAAATCAAATATTAAGAAAATATTTTTTGTTGGATTAGTTAAATAATAAATAAATATTACTAACAACTCTTTTTTTTTCTTTTTTCTTTTTTTTTTTGGGGGGGGTGTTTAATAAAGGGGGATTTTTTTTAAGGTCCCTGATATTATGATTTTATAGTATAAAGGACATCAAATATTTTCATGATGTCTAAGGTCCCTCAACATCAATCCAGAGAAAATTGGTCCAGAGAAAATTGGTCCAGAGAAAATTCAAGTCAGAGAAAATTCAAGTCAGAGAAAATTGGTCCAGAGAAATTTTGAATTTCTCTGGCCATGGACACTGTCAGAGAAAATGTGTCTTCACTAAATTTCTCTGACTTCGGAATTTATCAACCATGAACCATTGCCTCCACTCCCACTCTCATTCACTGCCATACCCACTGAATTGATTATGACAATACCAGATCAAATTCCATAAAAACAAGCACACAAGTGTGTTTATAAAATTAGAGAGAGAGAGAGAGAGAAAACAGAGTACAGAGAAAATTTGATTCTTGGTTGCTCCCAGAGAAAATTCAATTAAAAAACCAAAGAATTTCTCTGGTTTCAACCCAGAGAAAATTCAGTTCAAATAAAAAAAAAATTCAGTTCATTACTCCAAACACACACCATATATATACCACACGTACACACACAAGTTCATTGAATTTGGAACTTGATCATAGAAGTACTCTTGTAGGCCAACAAGTGTAAACCCATCTCCAATCCCAAGAATGATGAATTGAGGAGCTAACCAGAACACGCTCATAGACAGATACCCAGAGAAATTCCCTAACCCAAAGAAATTCCCAGACAAACCTTTCTACAGAAATTCTCTCAACCCAGAATTTCTCTGAGAGAAATTCAAATGCCAGAGAAATTTACAGATAAAATCACACAAACATGTTCAAGAATAAGTTCAAAACACACAGAAATAACTTTTTCCTAATTCAAGTAGCTTTTTATTACGAAATTGAAACCCTAATTTATGGAAGGTTAATATAAAATGCTATTAACTGTGTTTCCAGAGAAAATCTAGTTGTATTGTAGAAAAACTGACCAGAGTTAGGATGAAACTTGAATGACGAGCTGATATGGCCTGAGATGAAGATGGGACGTGACGAAGATGGACTGAGATGATGATGAGCAGTGAAAACGAAGCTTTAACGTAGGTTAGAGAAATTTGTGAGGAGGGAATGTGAATGATTTTTGCAGAAGATAACGAAGCTCTAATGTCGATGGTGAAGATGATGTTGAAACCTTAATTCTACTGTTCTCCTGTTCGTGAAGATGCTGGATGTTTGGAATGGAACTCAGACATCGGAATGAGTTTCGTTTCTGTGTTGATTTTGGCAAGGGTATTTTTGTCCACAAAATAATTAAAAACGCGCGCCAAGTTGTTCAGAGACCTGATGCATCACTATTTTTTTGAGTGTCCTTTATCCTCTAAATTATTATTATTAGGGACCGTAAAAAAAATTTCCCATTTTTTTAATTTTTAAACATACCTAACATACATATACCTAAAAAGTAAAAAAAATTAAAAAAAAAACCTTTTAAAAATTCACTAAATACAAAAAATATACGAGAATTCAGTACATTTTTTATATTTTTATGTATTTATTAATTTTTAAAAATATTTTTTTACAAATTTTTTACTTTTTAGATACATCTAAGTAAGGTGCATCTAAAAAAAGTTAAAAAAATGTTTAAAATTTTAAAAATATTCACTAAAAAGAAAAAAATACGAAAATCAAAAAACTCAATTTTTAAAAAATTTAATTCAAAAAACTCTAACCAAACACATTATATAATTTTTTGAAAAATGATCAGGACACCTTCCCCCTTTCCCTTTGACCCCCTCTCTTTTTGATTGATTAGTTTTTTATTTTTATTTTTATTTTTATTATTATTTTTTCTTCTCCTCCAATTACCATCCGCTACGTGTAGAGGGTGAGTAGTGATTGGAAGGGTCTCAATCACCTTCCAATTTTTTTTACTTTACTCCCTCACAAATTCATTTATATCTCATATATTTTTATAATTTTTTTTAATGTCCACTTTAACGTAATTCCTCCATTCATAAATGCAATTTTGGCAGAGAGTGCAAGGGTAGAACTGCATAGATATTAGCGAAAATCGTAAATAAATTAAACTGTTTTAAAATAATTATAACACAAACAAAAACAATTTATAAAATTTATAAAAAAAAATTCAAAATTTGATATTTGTAACCAAATCAAACGAAACCATATTAAGTCTCAAGTCTCATCAAATGAGAAAATTTTGATATTTGTAGCAAAATAAATTTTAAGTTTTTAATTTTATCAATTTAAATTTTAATATTTTGAATTGTTTCAATCTGAATTATCAGTCAATTTTTGTTAAATAAAATCAATAAAAAAATATTTTAGTTATTAAATTTAGGTGTACATAAAAGATCTAAAATACTATTTTTCGTTGAGTTTAATTACTAAAATATCATTTTGCTAGTCAGTTTTATTTAAAGAAAATAGACAAATAGTTTGTATTGAAAATTAAAAAAAAAATTAGAATTTAAATTAATAAAATTAAAAATCTAAGATTTATTTTGTTATAAGAATCCAAGTCTAAAGTTATTTTTTGTAATTTTTCAAAAAACAATTTATGCAAGTCTCTGATATACAAAAAAAGACTTATACTAAATACGGAAAAAAAAAAAAACCTTATATACTGATAAAAAACTTACACTACTATAAAATGAAATAATTTTTTACTGTCCAATTAAAATGCAATTTCCCTAGTAATAGTACAATTGGATCAAGACTCATTTATGTTTTTAATTTTTGTTGTTTTGGATGGTTATTTTAAAGTTATTACATATAGGCCTTATTTAGGAAGAGGATTGAATTAAAATAACTCACTAAAAGATAAAATAGATTAAAATAGTCAATAAGATAAAATGTTACATCTAATTCATAATTTTTTTTCTCTCACAATCATCATATCAATTATGAAAAAAACCAACGAACTTTCCAAGAGCAACTTTTTTACAAAGTTAAAATAACTTAAAAAAAACTAAATAATCAATTAAATAACTAACTTTCTGAGCAAGACCATACTTTGGGTCAATTATAGGGGTAGGGTGGGTCTCATTTTTTTATTTTGTAAAAGCTTATCACAGGCATATTTTATTTGATGTCATGCCTCAATGACCCAAATTAATTTTTTTTTTAAATAAAATAAAATCATGATTTTGGATGGGTTGTGATGATGAAAATTGTCTCACTTTTTCCCTCCTCTCTCTCATGAGTTTCCGTTTAGAAATTTGATTTTTTCTTTTTTTTTTGACTAGACAAGTTAAAAAGTGAAAATTAAAATTAAAAAACACAAAATGCTATTAAAAAAATTAAATCATACAAACTAAACTTTCTCATTTTTTCACACAACTGAAAAAAAAAAAAATCATTTTCAAACACATAGATCTTGTTTTACTACTAAAAAATAATCAGAAAATTACTGAAAAAAAAAAGAAGACAAACTCCAATAATTTAAGTCACATATTTGAATTTTTTTTACAATTTGTCAATAAAAATTTTGGATGCATAGTTGCTTAAAAAGAATAAAGATTATTAAATTAAACCCAAAGCTAGAAGGGGTGGTGGCGCAGTTGGCTAGCGCGTAGGTCTCATAGCTTCTCTGAGTTATCCTGAGGTCGAGATTTCGAGCCTCTCTCACCCCATTTCTTTTCGTTGATTGAATTATATTTTTTTGATGCAATAAATTCTTTTAAATTTAAAAGAAAATAAAATCAAATATGAAATTTTTTTTTTGTTTTGGTTGATTGGATTTTTTATTTGATGCAATAAATTCTTTTAAATTTAAAAGAATAAAATCAAATATTAAGAAAATATTTTTTGTTGGATTAGTTAAATAATAAATAAATATTACTAACAACTCTTTTTTTTTTTTTTTTTTTTTTGGGGGGGGGGGGGGTTTGTGATAGATGGGAGGGACCTCACACATCAAAAAATAATATCGTGGATCTCATCCATTACGAAAAGTGGGGGAGGGACCCTAGACCAATTTTCCCTTCAATAAACTATAAAAATAAACATGTATACAAAAATTTCTTTCTCATAATATAACTCCATTTCTGTATTTTTTAGTTGCAATAGCTTATTTATTTTTTGATGGGATTTGCAATAGCTGAATTTAAGATTGCCTTTAAGTTTCACAAAATATATATATACATACTACACGTCTCAGTTTTAAAAATTACACAACACCCCATATTTTAAAATTAATCACAAGACCAACCACATAAAACATTACAGATCAAATAGTGAGACTACAATAAATTAAAAAAAAATTCAAAATGATTTCCCTCAAATTACTTTTTATATTTTATGAGTTAGGAAAGATACTAGAATTATTAGCCAAAACTCTATGGGGAATGTCAATAATACCCTTTATGCAAGATAGGGGTGTCTATCTAAACCTTGACGTTATGTTTGGTTAGAAAATTTAAAAAGAGATTTAGAAGGAAAAAAATAAATAAAATATGAACAAAATATACTTACATTTCAACTTATTTCACACATCTTTTTTTCTTTCCCTTTCAAATTTCTTTTCAAACTCCCCAACCAAACACAGCGTGAAGAAAACTGCAAGACTAATATAGAATGATAAATAACAAAACTGTGAGTTGGAACCAAAATGAACACTGTAATTTCCCATAAACATGTAGTCAAGAACGTGGGAACAGAAATACAAGTCCAATTTCCAGAAATAGTATAAAAGGTACATCCCTAAACTGTTTTCTCTTCCATCCTCAAGTATAATGTATAATACACAGTACAAAACTAACACCGAAAAATTTCCTAATACAAAAAGCAGCCACAACTTGACCGATTGAGAAATCGGTGTGAAATTCACTGCTGTCTATACAATCACTCAAGACACACGGAATAAAAAGCCGAAGATGGCCATCTCCAAATTTCTACTATCTCCTACTGCTGGTTGCTTTTGCACTGTTTAGGTTAGCAAGTTCTTCAATAAGCTTCCTCTCTTCACTGCTCAGCCGTTTCGGGATCTCAACTTGAACCTTCACCAACTGATCTCCCCTCATGTTGCTTTTGTTTAGAAGCGGTACGCCCTTTTTTGCCATCACTAGTGTTGTTCCTGGCTGGGTACCGGGCGGAATCTTCAAGTCAACCATGCCATCAACCGTAGGAACCTTCATTGTTGTTCCTAAGATAGCATCGATATAAGAAACCTTGCAAGAGTAGAGAATATTGGTGTCATCACGTTTCAATACCGGATCGGGAAGAACGTCGATCATCACAAAGAGGTCTCCGGGGGGCCCACCTCTCTTTCCTGAATTACCTTCACCCCGGACCCGTAACCGGCTACCGGCGTCAACCCCGGCAGGGACTTTTAGGCTAATCCTCTTTGACTTCCTCACTCGCCCGTCACCGCCACACGTGTTGCAAGGAGTAGAAGTCTCCCCAACACCGCCACAAGCGGAGCAGGTCATTACCTGTTGGAAGACACCTAGTGGGGTCCTTGCCGATGTGACGACTTGCCCTTGTCCACCACACGTGCTACATTTGGATGGTGTGGTCCCCGGTTTGGCACCTGACCCATCACAGGTGCTACATGTCTCAAGACGGGTTATTTCAATCTCCTTTTCTACCCCAAATACCGCTTCTTTAAAATTCAAAACCAAATTGTAAATTTGGTCCTCACCCTCTGTGGCTCTATTTCGAGAGCCTCTTCCGCCCATACCGCCCATACCACCCATGCCCTCAAATAACGATTCAAACAAATCAAAGGGGTTGCTGAAATCCTGTCATTATGGAGAGCTCCCAATGTGAAAAATAGTGCAGAAAAATTAAGACAAAAAAATGTTGGAAATTGAAACGAGTGATTTCATCACTTAGTCTTTATAGTGGAATAGAACTCACCCCCGTGCCCACGCCAGCACCTTTAAGCCCAGCTTCTCCATATTTGTCATATATAGAACGTTTATCATCATCTGACAAAACCTGTAGTACATGTCTTTTGCTAATGAATCGTATGCTCAAATAGTCCACTGCCCAATCAAGAATCGTCAAGCAGGATGATACGTATAAGGTTCCAAAAGTTTACCTCATAGGCATTGCTGATCTCCTTAAATTTCTGTTCAGCTCCAGGTTCTCTGCAGGAAAGGAAGGAGTTGTTAAAACAGAGCATTTTAATTCTAGAATTGAAAAACAGAACACAAGGATGTAGTATTGGCGGAACTTCTTCTCTAGAGCAACAAGAATTCACATGGTGTAGGGTTCAAACGATTGACCTTCCACATAAAGCAAAGGCATGATACAATCTAGAAAAAATAATATTGGTATGCATGAACAAATTCCAGAGCCATAGATTATATGCCAACCTTTTGTGCCCTATTAAGAAAAAACATACTATACATGGAGCAACTGAAAAAATAAAATTAATAATAAGATATAAAATCAAAGTAAGTTGACTCAAGTAGAAAAGTGTCTAACATATTACGTGATTGACGAATACTAAGAAAATTAAAAGTAAAATTTATAGAATAGCTATAACATCAACGAAACTTTACAAGACGAAATATTTGGCAACTTAGAAACAACACATTCACAAAATGAGTGTAACTGAGATGAGGACGCTCACATAAATATGTAGCATGTAGGCGACCCACCTAAATGGGGCACAAAGGTTAATTTGGTTTGGTTATTTAACTCTAAATTATGCATCACTATGATTACTAACACTTCACAGTTTTTCATCCAATACTTCCATTATTTGATATAAATATCCACAATTTCTTTTTTTTTCAAAATTAGAGATATTGATATATATACTTGTGATAAATTTATCAATATATCCCCATTATTGGACATGTGATATATCTTTCTTATTTGAAATTTTATTCCCTAATTGTGGTAGCACAAAATATTTTCAAATTTTAGCATTAATTGATAAACAACAAGTCCTACACCATGGACATTATTTTCTTCAAGCAAACCACATCTTAATTTGCATGGAACTCAAAGCCTTGGGTTGAGCTTCCAAATAATGTCTTATCTAACTAAGAACAGGTAACACAACAAGCAGTAATTATGAAAATAGCTTGGAAAATTGTTGGTGAAAAACAAGGGAGCTTGGCATGCAGAATCAATATAACACAGCAAATCATCAATCAGAAAATCAAAAAGAAATTATCAAAATAAAAATCCAAAGTATGACACTGGAACGAAAGTGTAACTTGTAAAATAAAATAAAAACACGGCAGTTCAACTTACTTGTTTACATCAGGATGATAACTCCTGGCAAGCTTTCGATAAGCTAAACAAGAAAGAAAAAATAGTTAGCCATATGATGTAAGCAAAAGATAATAATACGAATGTGTAAGAAATAATGTATAGAGAAAGAGAGAGAATAAATTGTATGTATTATTATTGATTGATATGTTGTTATGTATATATTTTGTACAAGAATGCCTATTATATAGGAGATGATTCTGGAGTAGGTGAGGAGTGAGTGGTGGAGAGTAGGTGAAGTGGAGGTGGTAGTGGTGTAGTGGGTTAGGTTTAGTGGAGTAGGTGAGGTGGTAGTGGTGGTAGGTTTATGGTAAATTCTAACAGAATGGTTATAATTGAGATCAACAACAAATAAAAATGAACAGGGGCAGAATGATCCTTTTCATATAAAATAGAAATACTTTTTTTATGAAATACGCTGGAAAGCTCTACAAAACAAGCAAGGAGTACCAGAAAGGAAACAAAACAACCAAAGCTAGGCCAAAGAAAGCCAAATAATGGGATCCTTATAGAGCCATCAAAATAACTTAAGTAGTTCTCAACAGTAACTCAATAAATAGTCAATAACATAGTTTCCCCATTAACAGTAACTCAATAAATAGTCAATAACATAGTTTCCCCATTGAAACTCAGCGGTTCCATTTTCTGAGGGGTTCCCAGAAAAGTGTGGATAACACTGTAAATTAGAATAGCCTTTGAATGGTCACAAATCCAAGGAACTGTCAAAAAAATTGGTCTGCCACTCAACACCACAGTTATCATTCATAATAACAAAAGAATCATATGGTACTCTGAGATATACAAATTTTCAAATAAGTACAAAACATTTGGACTCAATATTTAATAAAGTTCCTAAATAAAATACTTAGTTACAAATTGCCCAAATTTCATTCTCATTCAAAACAAGTTTTGGGAATTTGGAATTTATTGTATGCCAGGTTTGGAAAATAAAGTTTCCAATTTTATAATCCAGATACCCTAAATGCTGTTAGGATGAGAGCAAGTGATGTTTATATAAAGAAAATAAAAGAAACTCCAAGAAAGAAAGGGTAAAAACATAGGAAAGAAGCATTTACACAAGTAACAATAGCATGCACAAACAAGCATATAGTACATCCCATTAAAGATGCATTATAAGCAATGACCAAAGGAAGGGGGAAGGTAAATTAGCACAGGAAATAGTCATGAAAGTGTCCTCACCACTTTTGATTTCTGATTTGCTAGCATTTTTTGACACCCCAAGGACAGCATAGTAATCCTGCACGTACACAACGTTAATACTAGAAGTACATATAACAATAAATTTTCAACAAAGCAGCAAAACCTAGAAGAGAACTCCCAAAAGAAATTTTTTTTAAAAAAAAAAAAAAAACTTACACTATCAGCTCTAACAATCAGGCGAACTCCCCTGCAGCGACATGGATTCCTAGATTGCACCAAATTGAACATTGCATGCAAGGAATTTTGAGAAAACATGGCTGAACTTGATGATGCCAATGCTCTTATCTTGCTTGAGACACTACACACAAGACGATAATGCATACAAAATGTTAATCTAAAGAATGTGTTATCTTTCCATGCATCAGGAAAATGCAAACCAAGAAACATCCAAAGCAACAAAATGCATTATGAAGCCTGGAAGGACATGAAACCATTAGATGATCAATAAGTTACCATCTGTCAGTCGTATATAGCCTTAGAAATCTAAGGCTATAATAAAAACTAGCTCAGTCCAAAATGAAAACTACAACCATCACTCATACAACTTTACTAAGTCATGATAAACAAAAACAAACAAACAGGCTTTGGTGAGATGAGCAAGAAGCGATGGTGTTTTGCGATCACCAGTGTTGCAAGGCTGTAGCTGAAAGCTTCAATTTTGAAAAGGCTACAACAATGATGAGTAGGCTGGTCAACACAATAATCTGGTATGAACTTCAAACAATGATGAGTAGGTGTTTTTATACATATATTTTTCCATTAGTCGTCTAAGTAGAAATTACCTTCCACATAGAAGATCTGGCAAGCATAAAACCAACTTTATTTCTGCTCAATTACTCTCTCTCTAAAGATTTTATTCATAATTTTAATACCACAAAATAAGTAATACTTCTTACAATTCAATATTTTTTTTTAATATATTAGTCAACCAGACTGTCCTTCATCACCCAAACATTTTCAAACTTCAGTAGGAATTTCAATTGTTCCTACAACATATTTAAGATCACAGTTATCAAATAGACACATTCCTCCATCCAAACAAACAACTTAAGAGTATTTTTGCTCACTACACAAGGAGAAGTACACTTATAATATTCATAACAAGGCAAAGCAATATTCATCTACATATTTTTAAAACATGTTAACTGTGAAAAGTGATAATGCCCATTACAAGCACAAGTTGAGAAAACAGCTATTAGAAGTTGATACATTTGCTTTTCAAGAGGTTAGTCTTCTATGTTTCTCAAAAAATTACCACAACACTAGCTTAGAGTTTCAAAGAAATACAGCAAAAAGCCCTTTATCAATGGGCATACACAAGAAACAAGGGTAAATTCACCATAGCTACATTAACCATTCATTAAAAAAAAATAAAAAATAAAAAAGAAGAGCAAACTGATGCTTTTGGTTTAGTGTGAAAGGAACCTAAATCGCCTGTCTGATTTGAACACTCAAAGGACCATCTTTTTGTTATCGTTCAACTTCTAAGTAACTCCCACTGAAAGCATTTTTTCAATCATAGTTCCCCCATTCATCTACTCACTTTTATTATTATTATTTTTTGTGTGGAACATCTCTACTTGCTAGCACACCACCATCACATGGCAGAAAAATAACATCAAATGGGTAACACCAAAAATATCCACAATTGATAAGCATATATTACTACAAACAAAAAGTAACTAAATACTCACCACTGCGAAGATGTAGATAACTTCTTGTTTGTAACAGAAAATCTTAATACAAATTGAGGTTGTCCCCACCGAGCTACCCATGTACTTCCACAAGGTAATATTGCCATTTAATACACTATAAAAATAAATAAATAAAGAAGAAAAAGAAAAGAAAAGGTCAGCATCTTTGTGACATTTTGCAATATGAGAAATGGTAGAAAATCTCTACAGAAGCTCTCAAACTATAAACCAAAAACTAGTATGCAAATTGTTTTTAGAACACATCCAATGCCTAACATTAAAAAAATACAATAAAAAATCATTTAGTGAAGTTAGTAGCATCAAAACATTATTAAGTACTAGAGCCACCCAGCACACCAAATTCTGAATCCCAAAATGGCAACTTGAGAAAGAAAACTCGTCTACCGTTTTCTAGGAAAACATATAAATCAGATGCACTTACACAGAACAATTTTCCGGAGAAAAAGCCTTCACACTAGAGCCAAACATGACCAGAGGGTGTATATAATATAAATATATACACTCAAAAACATTACCATTCTCAGTAACTCTTTTTTCACAGAACCTCTTGTTTTAGGGTTTGTGGAAGACCATATACATATATACACTAGCATATATATATATACAGAGAGAGAGAGAGAGAGAGAGAGAGGGTTGAAATCGAAGACGAACCTAGGGATTGTAATAAGCTGAGAAGTCGTTTACTGGTGGAATTCGAGCGGTGCGATTGCGGTGGTTGGTGGTGGCGGAGCAAAGCGGAGGAGAGGAGAGTTGTGTGTGTGTTTGGTGTGGTCTTCTTCTTCTTCTTCTTGGGTCGAAGATGAGGCTCTAACGAATTAGAGAGAGAAATTGAGGTCTTTCTAGACTAGAACTATTCATGTTATTTATATTTTGCTACCTAACTTATTATCAAATTCTCGTTTAACCCCTTTTTTGATACGTTAGGTAAATAAATATTAACAAGGCCGCATGTACGTTTGTCGCAAATTTTTACTTATTTGTTTTTAAAGAATTTTTAGTCGCAATTTATCAAATAATTTTTTTAAAAAAAATTCATTATAAAAAAATTAAAGGTAATTATAGAGAAAAATTACAATATAAATAAACAGATACAATGCTTGCAATTTTGTTGTATGCTCCTGCATTGCAAAAGAAATAATGTTAAATATTAATTGTAAGGAGGTGTCATTCTCTCATTGTTAGCTTTGTTTGGGAAGTTGACTAGTTTAGTTGATTATCTAATTTTTTTTTGACTATTTTAATAGTTGTGTTTGAGAAGTTGATTATTTTTTTTGTAATTGATTTGGTGGTTGTGGGAGAAAAATTAAAATGATTAATGATTAGATGTAATATTTTATCTTATTAACTATTTTAATCTATTTTATCTTTTAGTGGACTATTTTAGCCAACCCTCTTCCCAAACACCCCTTTTCTTATTTTCGATTATCTCTTGAATCTTTAACAACTTATCGTCGATGATCATAGTTATTTTTCATTTTTACTATTCTTATGTCTTCTTACCATCTTTTACACTCTCTAAACAATTTCATCCATTCAATTTCTAAGGCAAAGGTTTCAGGTTGCAGTGGTAATGATTTGAGAGTTATAGTATCTAGGTTTTGAGTGAATGTAATTTTTGAATAGAAATAAAAAGCTTAGAAATAATAAAAAAAAACACAATGAATGTGATAAAAAAAGAAACAATAATAATAGATAGAGGTCAAAAGATGGTGAAATAGGATAACAATAATAGTTGGAACTACAAATGAGAGATTAGGGTGATGGTGGGAGGTGTGACAATGGAGTCCGGATCCTCGACCGCACTTCCCCGTGGCCCTTCTTGCCGCACTCGTCAAAACGACGTTGTTTTGATCAGAACCACGTCATTTTGTTCATCTCCTTTTCTCTCTCTGCAAACTTTGTGGGTGTTGTTCTCAACCTCCATTGAACATTCAGACCAAAAAAAGGAAAATGAAAAAAAAAAAACAGAACTGCCAGCACCGACTTCCTTCCTTCCCATCTAATTTCCCTCATTTGTTTGGTATCAAAATCATCAACCTCTCACTGAACAACTTCAATAGCAAAGTGAGATTTGAAAATGTGTTTTCTTCATGTTTACAATTTCAATTTTAACACTTTAAATGCCCAAAATTTCATAAATCCACCTCACAAAATCACCAAAAAAAAAAAAAACACAAATCCAAAAAAAAAACACAAATCCATGGTTGTGGATATGTATTGCATGTACAGGAAGAGAGAGAAACATAAAAATCTAGAGAGAAGGAAAAAAATATCAATGGAACAAGGCATTAAGTCTTCAAATTTCTTTATATTTTCTAAATCATATGTACAGGAAGAGAGAGAAACATAGAAATTTAGAGAGAAGGAAAAAAATATCAATGGAACAAGGCATGAAGTCTTCAAATCTCTTTATATTTTCTAGATTACAGTTTCAATTTGATCTCACGTGTCAACAATGCCCAATCGACCTCACCGCCAAGATTCTTCCTCCATCTTCCTCCGGCGAAGATCTTACACATCAATAGGTCACTCGTCAGACTTGCTCGCTGCCGTTTTCTCGCCAATTCGCCGATTTACTCTTTCTGTCGTTTCTCTCTTTCGACGTCACTACCACTCTATTTTCTTGGTAGGGTTTAAAAACGAAAAGGCGCTGAATAAGAAGGAAGAGAGAGGAACAAAAAAAAAATTATTCAAAACGATGTCGTTTTGAAGCGCCGCAAGGTGGGCTGCAGGGTAGTGCGACCAATGATCCGAACTCGTGACAATGATAGTGTGATGATGGGTTACTAGAGTTGCAAAAGAAAAATAATGAAAGAAGATGTAAATAAGATGCCTTTTGTTCCATTCGTTTGTAAATATTTTTCATGTTGTTGGCAAACATTTTTGATACCTCATTTAATTGGCAAGTATTTCCATTTATTTGCAAAATCCCCCTAAGTCTAACTTTGGTTATTTGATTATCAAATACTCAAAATTTCATCTTAAGGAACCCTAGCCCTCCCCGTAACAGTGTGCTTATTATCACTTCACTCACTGTCACCCCCGCGGAAAAAAACGATGGACTCTCCCCCACCAGAACTCTCCGATCCCAACAATGTCACCTCCTCCGACTATTCGCCGGATAGCCACCAATCTCCGCCGCCGGAACCTCCATTCTCCGACTCCCAGCTCGACGACACTCTCGACTCTCAGCCCGAACCCTACCAACCCGACCCAACACCTCCCACCGCCAACGCCCTCCCACCTCCCAAGAAGCGCCGCCGTCGGAAAAAACAGTTCCCGGAGATGATCTCCTCCGCCGCCGCAGTCAACGGCCTCCGAGTCCTCCGCGCCCGAGAAAAATCGAACGACTCCGCCGTCGAGATCGACGACGCTCCGTCTAAGAATCGCCGCCGCCGGAGAACCTCCGATCTTTCCAAAGAAGTCGACATTGAAGCCCTAATCGCGATCTCCGTCGGATTCCCAGTCGATTCCCTCACGGAAGAGGAAATCGAAGCCAATGTCGTTTCGCAGATCGGTGGAATTGAGCAATCGAACTATATCGTCGTTCGGAACCACATTCTCGCGCGGTGGCGATCGAATGTGTCGGTTTGGATGACTAAAGATCATGCCTTGGAGTCGATTCGAGCTGAGCATCGAGGGCTTGTGAGCTCTGCTTACTCTTTCTTGCTCCAGCATGGTTACATCAATTTTGGCCTCGCTTCGGCCATTAAAGAAGCCAAATTGAAGCCCCCGGAGGGTTTCACGAAGAAGAATGTGATCGTTGTTGGGGCTGGACTCGCCGGATTGGTCGCCGCGAGGCAATTGATCTATTTAGGGTTTAAGGTTGTGGTTTTGGAAGGTCGAATTCGTCCCGGTGGCCGAGTCCGAACGAAGAAGATGAGCGGCGGAAAAGGACTAGTGGCTGCTGCTGACCTTGGTGGGAGTGTTCTCACCGGAATCAATGGCAACCCACTTGGAGTTCTTGCTAGGCAATTGGGTTTTCCACTTCATAAGGTGAGAGATATATGCCCACTTTACTTACCTGATGGAAAAACTGTGAATTCAGAAATTGATTCTCGTGTTGAAGTTTCATTCAATAAATTGTTAGATAGGGTCTGCAAACTTAGGCAAGCAATGATGGAGGAAGTTAAATCAGCAGATGTTTCCTTAGGGACCGTGCTCGAAGCTTTTCGGTGCGTTTATAAGGTTGCTGATGATCCCCAAGAGCGAATGCTCTTAAATTGGCATCTTGCAAATTTAGAGTATGCTAACGCTACGTTGATGTCCAATTTGTCAATGGCATTTTGGGATCAGGATGATCCCTATGAGATGGGTGGCGATCATTGTTTCATTCCTGGAGGGAATGAGAGGTTTATCCGGGCTTTGGCAGAGGATTTACCCATTTTTTATGACCGGACAGTGGACAGTGTTAGGTATGGAGTTGATGGGGTTTTGGTGTATGCTGGTGGGCAAGAATATAGGGGAGACATGGTACTTTGTACCGTGCCATTGGGTGTGCTCAAGAAGGGATCTATTGAGTTTGTCCCTGATCTCCCACAACGAAAAAAAGATGCTATCGAGAGATTAGGATTTGGGTTGCTAAATAAGGTTGCAATGTTGTTTCCATATGATTTTTGGGGTGGGGAGATTGATACTTTCGGGCATTTGACAGAGGACTCAAGTATGAGGGGTGAATTCTTTTTGTTTTACAGCTATTCTTCTGTATCGGGAGGGCCACTTCTTGTAGCTCTTGTTGCCGGAGAGGCTGCGATTAAATTTGAAAAGATGTCCCCAGTGGACGCCGTGGGAAGGGTTTTGGACATATTAAGGGGTATATTTAACCCAAAAGGGATTTCTGTTCCCAATCCACTTCAGGCGGTTTGTACCCGTTGGGGGCAAGATCAGTTTGCACATGGATCTTACTCATATGTTGCAATCGGTGCTTCAGGTGATGATTATGATATTCTATCAGAGAGTATTGGAGATGGGAGAGTGTTCTTTGCTGGAGAGGCAACTAACAAGCAGTATCCAGCAACAATGCACGGAGCTTTTCTCAGTGGGATGAGAGAGGCTGCTAACATATTGAGAGTTGCTAAGAGGAAGTCTTTGGTTACAGCAGAAAAATCAAATAATCTCAATGCTGAAAGTGATGATGTTGTGAAATTGTTTGAAATCCCTGACCTTAAATTTGGTAGCTTTTCTGTTTTGTTTGATCCCAGGTCAAATGATCTTGAATCTGTGTCTTTATTACAAGTTGCATTAAAAGGTGAGAAATTGGATTCTGGTTGTCTACATCTTTATGGCTTGATCCAAAGAAAGCAGGCTATTGAACTGAGCAAGGTGAATGGAGATGTTAGCAGGATGAAGTTGTTGAATTGTGAGTTTCGGGTGAGGTTGGTCGGGAGACAAAGTCTGTGTAGCGCTGCGGAATCTCTTATCGCATGCGTCAAATCAGCTTGATCCAGCTTAAATTGAGAATTCAAACACGATGACAAGTTTGCAGAAGTTTTCCTAATGGCTTTAAGCAATAGGTAGCAGTGGTAAACTCACTTGGGAGTTTCTTTCTGTTCAAATGTGATTGACTTGCAGAGAGCTCTTGGATGATTTGGTTTATCTTCAGGATATATGACTCTTGTTGAACTAAAAGCCTGCTTTGTCTGTACAGTAGTGGTGCATTTTAGAGTTTACATTATTATTGGGTTCAAAAGAGATGCATAATTGGTTCCATTTTAAAATGCCTACAACTTGGTGACAGGAACGCTGAGATTTATCTCAATGCAGTTTATTTTCTTTGCCCACATTGTTGTACATTTGTCTTTGTGGAGTATATGATAAATCACCATTATTCTCTTCATCATTTGTATTGTGTGGAATCTTTGATTTTTTCTTCCTATCTCTATACTATAGGGCTATATATAGTGAACCCAGACAGCCGGCAAAAGAAAAGAAAATAAAAGTGAAAGTAAAGAAAAGAAGTACCACATCAAAAACAATAAAATAAAAGAAACCCTGAACTCTCTCATCTCAATATCAGAACTCAATTTAATTCAATATCATAGTCTGAATGAACAACCCTAATACATAAAAATAAAAGAAACCCTAAACTCTTTGATTCCTAAATTTGAGTTTTTTTTGGTCTTTTGTCAGAAGACTATATCAACTTTGAGAGAAACTTGAATGGTTTCTATTGATTGTCAGGTAGAAGCTTCCACGTAAATGCTAGCTCCACCAGTAAGACTTTAAAAAGGAACAAGTGGCCTATTGGAGCTAATAATAATGCATTTTTGCTACTTTCTGAACTTTTGTAGCTCAAGATGTGACCTTATTCAATGGTTGTACAGAAATTTTTTTTGTGGGCAGTCTCTGTAACCAATACAAGACTTGGAATTACTTAACAGTGCTTGTTTTTAGTTGTGACAATCAAAACCAAATTGCAGAAGAGGAGGATAATCCAAACCTTCTAACAAAAGAAAACATGCAAAGGCTCTGAGATGGCTTGTGGATGACTGTAGGTCAGGGGACTCCTTGGTCTTTTACTTTTCTGGACATGGCTTATGACAACCTGATTTTAATGGAGACGAGATTGATGGTACGCTGAAGCTCTCTGTCCTGATTTTATGACTGCTGGCACGATCCTTGATAATGATATTAATAACACCATTGTCAAGCCACTCAAAGAAGGCATCAAACTTCTTGCTATTATTTGATGCCTCTCATAGTGGAACAATTCTTGATCTAGAGTATGTTTACAGCTTTAAACAGTAAATGATCCTTTATTTATTTTTGTTTGAATCACTGAATATTGATTTCTCAACTACAGTAATGTCCTGAACAAGTTAACAGCAGTGTCTATGATTTTCAGCTGCTCCAATATAAGGGTCTGTTTATTCCATTAAAACTCACAATCTGAGTGCCATTATCAAATCCTCTTATGTTACTGTCCTGAAATATTTTTTTGATTTTTTATTTGACTAGTTTGGAAAAAAGGTTAATTACATTAATATCAATTTAACTTTATTTGCCAAAAACTTGTACGTTTTGACTCAATGATAAGGGGGTAAGTGGCTTTGTCAAAATCACTTTTTTGTCTTCCTACAGTATAAAAAGTCATTTTTAACTATATCATTTCTGTGATTCTGATGCTATTTTAATACAGCAAGCTCTTATATTAATTTTTGACCATTAGAATTATTTCTCAAAAAATTATGTAACAAATTTGATAAAGCTTACACAAGATATGACACACCATTTGAAGGGATTTTTGAAATTTTATTATTTTTATTTTTATTTTTTTTTACGATGGTATAGCTAAAAATGGTTTAACTAAATAAGCCATTTAGGCTTTGTTTGGCATAAAAAGCCTGGGCTAAAATAGTCACAAAAAAATAAAATAGGCTAAAAAGCTAATAAGACAAAACATCACATCCAATCTATAATCATTTTATTTTTTTTTTACAAAAATCAAAAAGGCTATTCCAAACGAAACTTTTTAGCTTCAGGTTAAAATAGTCAAAATGTCGAAAAGTCAAAAGCCAACTCACATTCTAAACGAAGGCTTATTACATTTATATACATAAATGGTAGATTTAAACTTGGTGTGACGTATGTTATTTTTAGAATAAATCCTATTTACATATTTTAAATTTTAATCACCTTTTAAATATTTTTTTTGAAGTAATATCTCTATAAGATATAACCTTCGTCTTAGACATGGGGGTGTTTGGCAAGGAAAAAAATAGTATAGTTTAGGCTAAAATTTACAAAAAGACAAAATAGGCTAAAATAGCTAATAAGACAAAATATCACATCAAACCCATAATCATTTCACTTTTTCTCTCACAAACATCACATCCAACCACAAAAAAATCCAATTATCTTCCCAAACACAAAAATTTTAATCTACTAAAATAGCCAAAAATTAAAATAGCCTACTAAAATAGCACCTTCCCAAACGAAGCCATAATAAGGAAAAATTATGTAGCGGTCTTAGATTAATTAAACTATTTTTTAGAGCATCTCCAACGGTGACTCAAATTTTTCACCAAATCTGAGTCAAAAATGACCCATTTCACCAAATTTGATACCACTCACTCCAACGGTTCACCTTTCACCAAATCTATCCCGGGACAACTGGGTGGTCGACTGGCCGGTTGACCGAGTAGGCAAATTTTTTTTTTTCCGCGAATTGTCTGAACTTTTTTTTGAACTTTCTGAACTTTTTTCGGGACGACCGGGTGGTCGACCGGCCGGTTGACCGGTTAGGCAATTTTTTTTTTTTTTTAAACGGTTTGAACTTTTTTTCCTGAACTGTTTGAATCTTTTACTGGTTGACCGGTGTACCTCTTTCAACGGTCAGTAACAGTGATTTGGTAAAATCTGTGTCTCGTTCTCAGTTTGATGTTTTTTTTTCTGAAATCTCATTTTGATATCAATCTGGTGCAACGGTTGGAGCATAAAAAAGTGCATTTTTCATCAAAATTTGAATCTGATACCAACTTTGATTCGTAAAGTGTCTTCTACAACGGTCTGACACGACCATACCGTGTCTCCTATCCTGTTTTATTTGTCAGTTTATATTTTTCTGTTTTGTTACTCTCTTCAAACTCAAGTTGGTTAGTTCCTATCCTCCTTGAGTTTGAGGGGGGCTGTTAATGTAAATTGTAAATTGTGTAAATTACCACACCACCAACTCCACCTACCATCTCCACTACCACCCACCACCTCCACTACCATCCACTACCACCACTCACCTACCTCACCTACTCCCAAATCCTCTCCTATATAATAGCTTGTAATATACAAAATATAGACAACAATCTTGTAATACATCAATACATATCAATCAATACACAATTTATTCTCTCTCTTTCTTTCTATCAATTTATCTTACAAATGTTAAGAACAGTGAAACCAAACATAGAAACACAAAATCAAGGAATGGATAAGATTTTTATGTGACATCTATTTCTAAAAACTTCTATCTGTTAATTTATTTTGTGTATCTGATTCTGTACCCAAAACCATCAAATAACCTCACCATAACAAAAGGCACCGCACCACCATTGGACTTTCATTTGAAGAAGTATGACTGTTTGGCTGACATGAAAGTTTTTGTAACCTCTGTTTCTCTCTCCTAGTTATTATTCTTTGAGTGGCTCTTACTGCAGTTCTGACAGAAGGTATATGTGCTTGGCTTCTCAAAAAAAAGCTAGTCCCCAAAATATATTTAAATTCAAGTCCTTCACAGCAATTTCACTGCCTTTAAAAACTTTTTTGTCATTCCCTCACTGGAACAGAGAGAGAGATAGAGAGAAAACAGATTTAATGGAGGAACGAGAATATTTTCATGAAAGAATGAGTTACAAATTACGGCGAAAAGTTTCACTATAAATTTACGTTCATATTTGAAGGACAGTAAAAAAAAAAAAATTATTATAAATGAAAAGATTATAATAAGCTGACTCTTTTAACTAAACTTATTATACAAGATCTCTAAAAAAAAATAAAAATAAATAAATAAATAAAAACTGTCAAATATTTGAAATTTTAAAATAATTCAATCTATACCAAGAAGAGTGGTCGAAACATAGCCAAACACAAAAATCAAATAGGACACCATGCCATTTGCTTATGAAACGGGTCATGCAGATTGTTAATGGGGTAATAAGCATAATTCGAGTTGAATAATTGTAATACACCTAACATATGCCGAGGTCATAACAGAACATGGCTGGTACATGTGATCACCATAACATTATTCTACTACAAAATTGGATCAAATACACAAAATATCATAAAAATAAAAGTAAAAAACTTAAGTTGGTGAAGGCAAGTGTGAAAAACAAGTCACATAAACTATTTGAGATTCATGAGGGAAAAAGGAAAACTTAATCAAAAGAAACTTGATCAGATTCCTTGAGTGGGATTTTCCTTTTGACTCTTTTCTTTTGAAAATACTATTTTAGTTTCACTTTAGTTTTGTTTGTCTTGATCTTCATTGCAAATTATTCTCTTTTTCTAAAAAAAATTTAATTGACGGTGAGTGTCCATCGCCCATACTCCCATTACAGGATTTCAAAAGCGAGACTACTCTCATCAGATACACGCAATCACTCATTTTAGTTTCTTTGTGTATTCTTGGAGCAATATATCTATGTGTCCGAATCAAATTCTCTCATTTCTCTACCTCTTTGCCTCTGCAAATAAAAACCCATAACAATGGACAGGAAAAACAATCTACGTAGTTCCTTCTTGGGTTTGATGTTGAAAATGTCCGGCAGCAGCGGTGGCCAGCCGGCAGCAACAGCGAGTGCGGTGCCAACATTGCCGAAGCCAAATCCTATGAGTTATCATGGTGAACATCAAAAAAAGAGGGCTGTTCTTTGTGGAGTGAGTTACCAGAAGAAGAAACACAAGCTCAAGGGGACAATCAATGATGTAAAAAGGATGAAGTCTCTTTTGGTTGATCATTTTCAATTTCCTGAAAATGCTATTTGTGTTCTTACAGGTATTTTATGATTGCATTTTGATTCTTGTTCTTGTTTTTTGTTTTATTCAATTTGTTGTTTTAGTCGCTTTCTTATCGGGTATGTTATTCTATTCAGAATTCGACTTAAGCTATGTGGATGACTGGAATCGAGAGATAGAGAGAAAGTGAGAAGATATTTTCTTAGAAAGTGAGAGAGGAGATTAAAGAAGAATTTTTTTTTTTTTGGGACAATGTTTAGATGGCTGAAATAGAGAGAAGAGAGAGAGACGACAATACAAGTATCTAATATATTAGGTGGTGTAAAAATAAGGGTATAATAGAAAATTTATTAGAATCTAACTTTTTCTTTCTTTTGAATTGGGCTGCAATATAATATTATCTGGAGGAATGTAAAGATTAGATTCCTCTAACTTAAGGGGGTTTGTTTGGTGGGATTAAAGTATAAGATGAGCAGTGATTGGCACCCCCAGTAGGGAGGCACTCCCAGGGGGTTTGTTTGGTGGGATTAAAGTATAAGATGAGCAGTGATTGGCACCCCAGTAGGGAGGCACTCCCAGCACCCCCACCTCCACGTGGGGGGCTGTGGACCAAGGGAAAGTAAAAAAAAAAAAAAATTCAACCAATCACATGCTGCCACATCACTGGGGGTCACTGGGAGTCCTTCAAAAGTGGGGTTCCAAAGCATATTTGGTATAAGATTGGATGATAATAAATTATTACCTTTCTATTTTAAGTCATTTTAAATAATAGAATCTTAACACATTAACGATTTGAAATCACATTTTCCCTTATTTCAAGATTATTGTCGTATAAATTGAGTTTTATAATTCATTTGGTGCATTAGGTGAAAAAAGTAAATAAATGAATATAGCTTCTCATTTAGGTGAGGGAAAAAAAAGAAAGCAAGAAAGAAAGAAATGACTGTATTTTAAATGTGTGCGTTACACACACACACAAATCATAAGAATAAAGTGAAAGAGTTGGACTTATCTCCAATAACAATCCTCAAATAATTTTTGGATTAGACAATTCAGTGCTTGTGAGCTGCACAATTCCTCTCACATTTTTTGAGAAAAAAAAGAAACCCAATTAAAAATGAGATTAACCCTTAATTTTACTCCTGCAACATATTAAACTTTTACTGTGAAAATAAAAATAAAAATTTTGCAGAAGAGGAGAATGACCCAGAGCTGAGTCCAACAAAGAAGAACATACAAAACGCACTTGAATGGCTAGTGCAGGACAACATGGGTGGGGACTCCTTGGTCTTTTACTTCTCAGGACATGGCTTGAGACAGCCAGACTTTGCTGGGGACGAGAGTGATGAGTTTGATGAGACTATCTGTCCTTCTGATTTTGCCACTGCTGGGATGATTCTAGACAATTACATCAACTCCACCATTGTCAAGCCACTCAAGCATGGTGTCAAGCTTCATGCCATTATTGATGCTTGTCATAGTGGAACCATTCTTGATCTACCCCATGTTTACAAACCCAAATCGTGAGTATTCTTTGTTTCCACACTTGAAATTCCTGTACTTTCATCAAAATCTCACTTTGACCTTTTTTCTTTTCAATTGTAACAGTTAATCCCCACACTAAAAATCAAGTTCTATTTCATTCTTTCGTCTCTCTACCTTTAATAAAGCTAAAAACATATTTTTCGCAGCTTTCAAATAATCAATTTTTTTCAAAAAAATGTATAAAATAGTTTCACATATACTCTCAAAATAACATTAGTCATAATCAGTTTACTCGAGCAAACGGGGGCAATAACATCTTCTCTTTTACGGTTGTTTTTCCATATTTGGATTTTACCAGCAAACAGTGGGGAGGCAACAAATCTTCATCAGGTGGTTGTGAAAGTACAAATGATGCACTGGCCATCTGTCTTAGTGCCTGTGCTGACAATCAACTGGCTACTGATACTAATGTAAAGGCATCACTGCCCCCTTCACAACCCTTCTACTTATCTGCATTAAAATTGAAAAATAAATAAATAAACAAACAAATTGTTTTTGTTTTTGTTTTTTGTAAAAAAAAAAAAAAAAAAAAAAAAAAAAAAAAAAAAATTTTAAAAAAAAAAAAGTGGCAACAATTGCTAAAATTTACGGAATTAAAAAAAAATTGAAGTGATTTCACTTGTTTCCAAACAAGTTTTATTCTCCGGACCACCCTTCAAACCACTGACGACCACCTCCAGCTGCTGGTCACTTTTGACAACTTATTAAACATAATTTTTTGTTTTTATATGTTTGAAAAAAATGTATTTAATTTTTAGAAAAAAAAAAATTTATTTTCATGTTTCAAAAACAAGAAATTGGCAACGTTATTAAATGTTAGTTTTTGTAATTTTTTTTAAAGTTTTTAAAAACAAAATGATTATTTATACCTTATTATAAGATGGGTACACAGATAGGTCAGACTTAGCAGATAAATTTTTTTCAATTCTATTTTTGATGACTTTATTGGGCAGGCATTCACAGGAAAGGAAATGAGCGGGGCGATGACATACAATTTTGTGAATGCAATTAAGGCAAAGAAGCGAATAACCTATGGTGAACTACTCGATGAGATGCATAACAATATTACTAAGCATGTTAACACAACAGGATGCCTCAACCTCAATGTTCTATGGAATGTGTTCCGCAACAAGCCAATACAGGTAAACCCCCCCTTCATTTCTCACTCTCTTTAGAGAATTTCCCTATTTTTTATCCCTACTTCAGCATGTTTACATTTCCCAACATTTTAATGTCTTTTAAACATTTTGGGTTTTGCAGGAACCTCAGATGTCATCTTCAAAAATCTTTAATGTTGATGAAGTGGAATTGAACCTGTAGAGATGATGTAACTGGAAAGTACTCTCCTAAATAAATTTTTTTAAAAAAAAAATACTAACTTGAATAAGGCATGAGGGCCCTTTGTATCATTTTTATTTCCTAACAATATGATTACTCTGAAAGATTTAAACCTTGTATTGAGAATAAAGAGAAAATTAGCTATATCTACTTAATTTATTGGTTTGTGAACCAGAATACCTCATAATCAATTGGGTTAGTTCAGTTAATGAGAGGCCAAGGCAGTGACTGATTTTCTCATTCCTATCAGCGAGTGTTACTTTTTTGATCATTTATTTATTTTTCATTACGAGACTCTTGATTGTTGGTGTTAGACCTTTTTTAAATAGTTGATTGTACAATTTAACGTAATTGGTAAATTTTGTAAATATTCTCATAACAATTGAACCAAAAAAAGAAAAGAAAAGCTACAAAATCTCACAAAAACTTGCAACTTTTTTTATTGAAATTCTCCAATGGGTCGAAAAGAATGGAGGATTGGGTTTCAATGTTCATGATTCCTCAATTTGTGATCACCACTTTCTTGAAGATTATTCTATATTATCGTTGTGTCTATTTAATTCTTTGGAATATCTTCTTATAAATGCCTTTTTAGAGCCAAAGAAAATTCAACCTAATTATCTCCCACAGTCAAATTGCAAGCACACTACTAAATCAAAATATTGTGGGGCTTTTTATTATATGGTGTCCATCAAGTTTTAAAACTTCTAACAATATCCTCAAATAGGATATAGATTCTTGTGGAGAGGCATATATTAGAGGCTTATCTTTGATAGGACTTGTGAAGTAAAAGAAACACTAGCCAAGGAATATGTGCTTTTCAAAATTTCTATATTTTATTAAGAGGTTAAGAATTAAAACAAATACACACAAAATTCTAATATCTCAAGTACTTATGCCTATCAAATTATGCTTAGTTTGTATAATATTAATGCATAATATCCACGCATCTGATAGTTGGAATTTATCCGCAACAAATTACAGATTACCAAGGTCTTTTTTTTTTTTTTGGGTGGATCAGCGAAGAGAATTTTATTAACTCCAAGGGAAAAAAAAAGAGACATTGAAAGGAGAGGGATTACAGAAAAGAAGCTTTATTAAAAAGAGTGAATCTGGTTCTCCACCAGTTAGGAATAAAGCTACAAATATGGGCAAGCACAAAAGTTGATATTCACCTAAATCTCCCCTCCATCATACTTCCAATCGGGAGAAAGAGGATAGGGAAAGGAAAAGTTGTGTTGCAAGGCGGTGACACTCGAATCTGAGCATCATGCTCAGTAAACAAGCGCGCACACCACACCCCTCCCCCAAACTCATACTTCCAATTGGTAGTGAGGGGAAACGAGGAGAGAGAGTTGCATTGTGCAACAGTGAGATTCGAATCCAAGCATCATGCTCGGTAAAGAAGCACAAAATCCCCCCTCAATTGTACTTCCAATCAGTAGAAATGGAATAAGAGTAGAGAAAGTTGCATTGCGCAACGGTGAGAATTGAATCCGGACATCAAATATCTCAAGTACTTAAGCCTATCAAATTATGCTTAGTTTGTATAATATTAATGCATAATATCCACGCATCTGATAGTTGGAATTTATCCGCAACAAATTACAGATTACCAAGGGTCTTTTTTTTTTTTTTTTTTTTTTTTGGGTGGATCAGCGAAGAGAATTTTATTAACTCCAAGGGAAAAAAAAAAGAGACATTGAAAGGAGAGGGATTACAGAAAAGAAGCTTTATTAAAAAGACTGAATCTGGTTCTCCACCAGTTAGGAATAAAGCTACAAATATGGGCAAGCACAAAAGTTGATATTCACCTAAATCTCCCCTCCATCATACTTCCAATCGGGAGAAAGAGGATAGGGAAAGGAAAAGTTGTGTTGCAAGGCGGTGACACTCGAATCTGAGCATCATGCTCAGTAAACAAGCGCGCACACCACACCCCTCCCCCAAACTCATACTTCCAATTGGTAGTGAGGGGAAACGAGGAGAGAGAGTTGCATTGTGCAACAGTGAGATTCGAATCCAAGCATCATGCTCGGTAAAGAAGCACAAAATCCCCCCTCAATTGTACTTCCAATCAGTAGAAATGGAATAAGAGTAGAGAAAGTTGCATTGCGCAACGGTGAGAATTGAATCCGGACATCATGCTTGGTAAAACAGTGCAAAATTCCCTCTCAATCATACTTTCGATCAGTAGAAAGGGGATAGGATGAGAGAAAGTTGCATAGTGAGATTCGAACTTGGACATCACGCCCAGTAAAAAAGCACCTCATACACCATACCAACCTGTCTCCCCACTCAAACATACTATAAATATAACTGACCACTCTCTCCATAATTACACACACTACTACATCTACAAAAAAATGGCAAGACAGAGATGCAATTGTGGGGTGCTACTAGCAGTGCCAAACGGTGCTCAAACTTTTTGCTGTCCGGTGTGCTATGCCATTGTCGTTTGCTCCAATAACTATGGCCACGTTCCACCAGCAGCCTCCAACAACGGCTACAATGTCCCGGTAGCCTCCAACAATAATGGCTACATGGTCCCGGCAGCGAACAATTACAATGGTATTCCCAACAATTATTGTCCTAATTACAATCGTACAGACTATGGTCACAATAACCAACAACCGTTGTGGCAATTGCCTCAGCTATTACCTCTTTCAGTGCATGGAAGGAGACGGGCAGTGTTAATCGGAATATGCTACCATGGCCAGAAAAAAAGCCTAAAGGGTAGCATTAATGATGCAAGGTCAATGAAAAATTTTCTGGTTAATAGGTTGGGTTTTCCAAATGAATCTGTCTTAGTCCTTACAGGTATCTCTCTCTCTCTCTCTCTCAAGCATGCACACACATAATAAACACACACACGCCCAATTATTTGAGTGCACAGATAACTGAGGATTCAGAAAAGCAATAAGAGAACTCCATTCCATGATCTCATCTGAACTTCTCACACTGAATTAAAAATAATAAGTAAAATTTACATCGAAACTCAAGCATAAACAAATAGTTGTTTCTAGAAAACGCTAATACCCTATGAAGCACAGACACCTCCCCAGGGCCTGTGTACGAGTGTCAGACACGCTGTGGACACGTGTCTGACACTCTCCCTAACGGGTCCCTTTTTTTTTTTCTCAATTTTACGGGATGACATGTTTCGGACACGTGCGAGATGGATTGAAGAAGCCCTAACCTGTTGGGGAGAGAGAGAGAGCGAGATCAAGGGAGAGGTCGATCGAAGGAAGCCTTGAAGCTGTTCAAAAGAGATCAATCAAAGAAGCCCTAATACCCTATTGATTTACGTTTTGGAACACACATTCCGAAACATAACACACTTTTGTTCCAAGATGGTGAATTTAGCGATTCTAGCAATCCCCAAAATATTTTTTAATATAAACCTTATAAGTTACCTTAGTTGGAAAAACAAATTAAATATAATAAACTAAAACCTAAGGGGAGTGAAGTTTTGGTATAACAAAACACACAAAAAAAAAAGTCATAATGATCTGTGTGTTGTAACATGATTAATTTGAACGCCGCCGGCAACATATTACTAGATTTTCTATTAGATATATAATTGTTAAAAAATTTTTTCTCTAAAAGTACATTAAATTCTAATAGTGTAATCTAAACAAATCTATCCCAATCATACTACATTTCAGAGAATGTGGTGTATCACGTCCTGGAACATACGTTGTTTCACATGATATCCATATTTCCATTTCTTATTCAGTAACTAACAATAAATTTGCAGAAGAAGAGAATGACCCATACCGGATACCAACGAAGCGCAACATCAGGATGGCCATGAAGTGGCTTGTCCAGGGTTGCCAGTCTGGGGACTCATTGGTGTTTCATTTCTCTGGCCATGCCTCACAAGTGCCTGACCTCGACGGAGATGAGGTTGATGGGTATGATGAAGCACTCTGCCCTGTTGATTATCAGACTGAGGGAAATATATTGGATGATGAGATCAATGCCACCATTGTAAGGCCACTACCCCACGGAGCCAAACTTCATGCCATCATTGATAGTTCCTTCAGCGGAACAATTCTTGATCTGCCATTCATATGCAGGATGAACCAGTTAGTGATTTGCTTTCATTATTTGAAGAACGAATCTGAAAAATAGGCACTTCTTTCACACTAACATTCTAAACAAGAAAATCTTTACCATTGTTCTTCTCAAGCAGGCAAGGATATTATGCATGGGAAGATCACCGTGTCTCCACTGCTTATAAAGGCACAAGTGGTGGTACAGCAATCTGCTTTAGCGCTTGTGATGATGATCAAAACTCTGGAGATACTATGGTTAGTGGTCTCACTCTTGTCTCTCTTCATGCTTTCAATGTACCTGAGCGTACTTTTTAATGTCATTGTCAAATCATTTTGAAAGTAAATTCATTGAAAAAGGAGGATTTCAAGCAGGACGTTTTACCTAAAGTGGTTGATGAATCAAAATATATCATGAATACTGCTAAATTTTCCATGTAAATTCAAGGATGCCTTCACACCATGGTGATCTTTTTCTTCTTTGAGGCCGGCTACATGTTATGTTATTAACTTCAAAAAATATTAGCAAATATTCCCTACTTCCATGGATAACACTTGTTAAGGATCCCACATCAATTCTACAGGCTTTCACAGGCGACACTGCAACTGGTGCAATGACTTATAGCTTCATCCAAGCTATGGAAAATGAATGTGGATTGACATATGGCCGCTTACTTCCTAGCATACGCAATAAAATTTGTGAGGCTCATAAACGTCTCTATGGTCCTTGTGCACCTCCTACATCACAGGTATGTTTCTCTAAGGTGGTTGTGTTAAAACTAGTTCATATGTATGAGTGGAAGTGCATTCGATGCATATAAGTAAATTTAAATTTGATGGAGTAACAAAATAATATATTGATTTACAAGTGTTATTTGAGGGGGAAAAAAACTTAAATCTAATAGATTATTACACCTAATTTAACATCAAAGATGCTAGAAACTGGTATTCAACATGAGCTAATAAGCCTTAATCCCAACCAATTAGGGCCAGTACATGGATCTGTTGGTGTGTAAAGCCATCTCTTTGGCAAAGTTCAAGGCAATCAAGACCACTATTTGAGGGGGAAAAAAAACTTAAATCTAATAGATTATTACACCTAATTTAACATCACAGATGCTAGAAACTGGTACTCAACATGAGCTAATAAGCCTTAATCCCAACCAATTAGGGCCAGTACATGGATCTGTTGGTGTGTAAAGCCATCTCTTTGGCAAAGTTCAAGGCAATCAAGACCACTGTCACCACACGATGTAAATCAACTTTCGCAAGAATTTTTTGGAACACCTAGTGGGCAAAATGAAGTTGATTTTTCAAAGTTAAAATCTTCTATATATAAACATTAAATTAAAAGAAACTCCTAAAAAGAATGGAATTTGAGCCATAACAATTCAAAAATCGTCTTCCAAGTGTCCCATCCCATCGATCAAGAATGTGCTAGCAATAGTAGTGGCCAAACTACAATTTCATATTGCGCTTGTGGACATTATCTAATGAACTATAAGTCTAATTTGGCCCTCATTTTGCACTAGTTTTAGGTTACTATGCAGCTAATTTGATTTTAATACAGGAGTCCGAAGCATTTAGATAATTTTTGGAATTGCTAGACATAAACTGTAGTAGTTCATGGGTTTCAGGTTGTTTACATTTTATGGTAATTAGGTCCACAATATTTTCAACAATCAAAAGATTCTAAAGCTTCCTATCTTAGTTGCATGAACCAAGGGCAAGGTTCAGGCAGGGCAGGGGCACATAGAAGAGTCTAAAGTTGAGAGCACCTAAGGGAGCATTTATATGCAAATATATAAATATACTGTACAAAAATAATTTTGTTGCTTAGTAGTAATATATATATTAAAAGTCAACATTATTACACTACTGTTAAACATAAGAATGGTAAGTTTTCATTATAGAAGTAATAATTCATTGCCAATAATAGCATATATCTTTTCTCCTCAATCCTTATACAACCCAAATGGAAAGATCAATCAAATTCTCATCCTTTAATTTCTAATAGGAGAGCTGAAATCTAGGTAAAATATATCTTCTCTACAAATTTTCTTATGCCTAGGGTGCTTTTCTTTTTATTTGTTTGGGATTTGTATGTTTGAATCGTAACGTGATTCAATCTCGACAAGTACATGGTTCTAACAAAATTCTTTCTCTAAACCAGCAGAATCACAGTTTTAAGAGGGAAAACATCACCCGCAATAGGAAATTCTAACCTTCCTGTTTTAAAGATTTGAATTTGTGTTATTTGTCATGTAACCCAAGCTTAAGGAGGTCATTCCAACAAAATTCTAGCTAGGGTTCCTAGAATATTTTTCCCCTTTCTATTCCTCATCTTCTTTTCTTTTTTCTCTTCCACAAAAATATGATATTTCCTACTCACAGTATAATAGCCTCATGAAAACCCTAGTCTATTATGTCCTAATCAACTCTCTCTTTCTTTCCTATGGCCATTTATTTATCACTAGAAACCCTAAAACAAAAGCTCAAAAATCACTGCAGGAAATTGTGTTGCAATTTCAGCAACCGATACCTTCTAAATCAATCAAGTTTCTTTGCTTCCCCCCCAGTTACGTGTACACAAACATTAGCACCTAGGGAGAATTGAATCCCCAACCTCTCGTGAGAATTTACGTCTTGAAAATCAATTTTTTTAAGACACTTAAATCCTCATATAATCATGTTTATTCATAGATTTTTTTAAGCAGAATCTAATACTACGCTTTGTTTGGTGTTTTTGTAGGTGCCTCAACTGTCCTCTACAGAGATGTTTGACATTCGCTCAAAACCATTTGTGCTATAAGAGTATACTGTTCAAGCGAAATTAGTTGCTGCAATCAAAGTAATAAATGTAATTAGATGAATCAGACTGTTTATGAATAAACAAAGTACCATCTCCACATAATAGAAGCTTGAAACAAAATAAAAATTCGATTTTGAGAGAGATGAAACGAGAAGTGTACCTCCATATATATATATATATGTATATATATATTGATTAGGCTTCTAAATATGCATTTTTGCTATATTTTCCTCCATCACTTGCAGGAATATGTATATATGGTCTGCTCATGTAATTACCATGTTAAGTAGTTGTACGTAATTACCATTACCCATTTCAATTGTCACTGCTTTAATGTTTACCCGCTGTGAGGGTACCATTACCAAGTCTCTGAAATGACACAAGCATGCAGATTACACAGAACTCTGTTGGTGTGAAACGTCGCACTTTTTTCCATTCTAAATATTATCTCCAACAGAAATTAAAAACAAAAAACTTTAGTAAAGAATTCAATACTTGTGTAAGATTTACTAGAAAGCTACACCTTAGGCCCAAAAGAGAAGATTATTATGAAGACAAAAACGCATAATTAGTTGAGAAAATAGAACATTATCAAGGGTGGGACCAAATATGTGGCTAGGGTTCCTGGTTATGTATTCAAGTTTCCCTTTCCTAAATTAACATGCTCCTTTTCAACAACTGTAGTTTTCTACTTGATGTACATGGGCTGCGTCCCTTTTTGATGTTTTTCTCAATAAGCTTTACTTGTACAAAATCTGCATTGTTTAAAGCCTAAAAAAAAAAACCTCTAATTGGTTTTTCCATAAATTTAAACATTTTGAATTAATAAATTAAACTTGCATGATTTCATTCACAAAACCACACACACCCAAATCAATCTCAGTGAAACAACAAACTACACGGGTTTTCCCAGGGGAACAAAAAAACCCACACGGGAAATCCCATCTTGTGCTTCTAAAAGCATCCACAGTGGGCTGCCAAAGGAGCTACCAGTTGGCAAAAACAGGTCATCATCCCCCAACTACTTTCCTTCCTTCCCTCCCTCCCTTACTCATCTTTTCCCAGCAAAAACTCCCCCAAACAGAAAACTAATATTTTTTAACAAAAAAACAGACTAAAAACAACAACAACAACAATAATCAAACATGTTAAAACAAATTTCAAGCAAACTCAACTAATCACAAGCAATTTGAAGCAAATTTTAAGCAATTCTCGATCATCAGAAAGATGATTTCAGAAAAATAAATACCTGGATTTCAAGATGCGTGATGGATTTCAGACGATTTCAGCAATCTCGTCTTGTTCATCTGCTTGCTTCGTCTTAGGGTTTGTTTGTACTTCGTCTTCATCTTCATTTTCTCCATCAGAAAGACGATTTCAAGGATTTCGTATAGAGAGAGAGGAGAAGGATCTGGTGCAGAACGTCCTGTTAGGTTGAATTTTCAGACTTTTTTTTTTAAAAAATTTTTAAAAACTAGTTTAGTGAATAAAGTAGAAAAATAAAATATACTAATCACCATTTAGTCTTGAGTTTTTAAAAATAATTTTATGAGTTTTTTATTTCTATATTTTTAATAATTTTTAAAATATTATAGTAATTAATTTTTTTTAAATTCACTTAATTTTGAAATATTTAAAAAATAAAAATTTTGTATTTTTTTTTAAAATTTATTAAATATAACAAATACGAAAATTTAATATATTTTTATATTTTTGTATTTGGTGAATTTTTCAAATTTTTTTTAAGTATTATATTTTTTAAGTGTATTTAAATTAGATATATATAAAAAATAAAAATTTTGTATAAAATATTTAATTTTTTTTAAAAATTAAAAAATATGAAAAATAAAAAATTATTTTTTTTAAAAGTTGAGTTAAACCAATTCATTCAGTATCGTAATCACCAACGATTAGTTCAGTTTCTCATGGCTCTCACTACCAAGTTTGAGCTCGTGTGTGCATCTCTACTTCATCGCACTCCATTGCCCACTCTTGAGCAGGCAATTTATGAGTTATTATCTGAGGAGACTCGTCTTGGCCCTCTGAAGACTCATCATGTAGATACAGTTCTTGCCACTTCCCAATCACTGAGTTTCTCTGCACCAACCACCTAGTGGCCCACAACTTGCAATTATTGTCAGAATCGGGGCTTCCTTCTACTCATCTTCTGCTTTATTGCCCAATCAGATCCTGTTGGTACTACAATAAGATTAGTCCTGGTCATCTGCAGCAAGATTACTTTCGCAATCCAAACCGCTCATCTACTACTCACTCTTCTCGTGGTGCTTCCTTACAAGGTTGTTCACAACGTCCAGGGAATCAGTCTAGATCTCTACCTGCTCATCGCACTACTACTGTTGCCTCTGAGGAGTTTTCTAAGCCTTTAGATCCAACCACTCCTGTCTTTTCCCAAATTGATGTTGAAGCTATGTTCAAACAGTTTATCACTACCTTTAGTACACCTCATTCTACTAGTCTGTCTGTGACTTCAGGTACATCTCCCTGTTATTTTGACTGAGTATGTTGCAATCATATGACTTCTAGTTCTACTATATTTTCTTCTATCACTTCCTCTCCTCATATTCTCTCCATTCATACTGCTGATGGTTCTCTTATGTCTATAAGCCATATTGGTTCTCTAATATTTTTTTTAAAAAAAAAACCATAAAATAAGGAGAAGGCTCTATGAGTTTTTGGTTTAGAAGCTTAAGCTCCCAGATTTCATCAAAATAATTTGTACTTTTTTTATAACTAAATAAATTTGAAAAACTTACGTATAACTCCTAATAAATAAATTTATTATCTAATAGGTCTTATAAGAGTTAATGATATTTTTTATCAAATATTATTAAAAAATGGCACTAATTATTAATTTTTAACAACGGTTTAAAAAATGTCACTAATTATAAATTTTAACGACAGTTTAAAAATATTGTCACAAAAAAATATCATTAATTTTTAACTTTCAGCAAGAGTTTGAAAAATTTATCACAGAAAAATATCACTTATTATAAGTTTTATTGACAGTTTATAAAAAAATTAACAAAAAATTACTAATTATCAATTTTTGGTGACATGCAAAAAATGTTATAAAAAATTATTTTTAGTGACAATTTACTAGGACTTATTTTCAATAGGACTTGATGAGAATTAAATCTAACTATGAGGACCTATTGGTAGTTTACCCAATAAATTTTAGGGGTAGATTTTAATATGTGAACTTATTATCTAATATGTTTTATAATAATTAATGACATTTTTCACCAAATACTATTAAAAAATGACATTAATTGTTAATTTTGGCGACAATTTTAAAATTTTATCACAAAAAACATCACTAATTTTTTAATTTTCAGTGACAGTTTGAAAATTTTATCAAAAAAAGTTACTAATGGTAAGTTTTAGCAACAATTTATAAAAATCGTAATAAAAAAGTCACTAATTATCAATTTTTTGTGATATATGCAAAAAATGTTACAAAAATTATTTTTAATGACAATTTTATTAAGACTTATTTTTAATAAGACTTGATAAAAATTAAGTATAACTATTAAGACTTATTAATAATTTATTCTAAATTTTATATATAACTCTAAAAAAATTATTGTTTTGTACCATAAAAAACATCTCAGACTGGTTTGCAGCTGAATAATGAAAACGATGTCTTTAGGACTTGTGCGGCTTCAATGCCAAAGCATGTTTTCCCCTTTTACTTTTCTTTTTTGTTTGTTTGTTTTTTTTTGGTGCAAATTTACCAACTTACTTTTCAATCCTCGTGTGCAATACATACCCCTTGTCCTCTCCTCTCACCCAAGGAGCAATTTAAAAATCAACCACACCATCGAAAAACATGCGTGGTTAAAAATGAAAAATTAACGGTTAATTGAAAGTGAAACAAAAATATTAAAAAAAAATGTTAGAAAGTATGAAAAGACTTATTGCAATGTTTTCACTGATTAATTTATCATTTAACTTTTACGTCAGTTAGTAAAATTATGCAGTAAGTCGTGTCTATCAATTTTTAAATATTTTTTTTTTATTAGTATGATGTGATTAATCCAAATGTTAGTCATTATTAACATCTAAGATGACAGTTGATGAGATGGAAAAATTAGCATGTGTACATATATAACATACAAATTAGAGTTCTTTTTTTTTCAACTTAATCGAAACCGACTCACACCAAATTACTTCTTAATTTGTCATATAAAGTACATTTTTAATTATACTACTATATTGAAATTCTGATGTCTAAAAATTTTAAGATAATTCATTTTAAGATGGGTAGATTTCATTGAAGGAGCAAGCGCTTGCGACAGGCATTGCACCACCGGGTGTAGCAGGCGTGGAGGTTGGGCCAGTCGGAAGTGGGGTAGAGGGTGAAATGGTGGAGCCATAGAGACAACACCTTCTCCTGCTCTTCTTCTTGTTCCAACATCTCTATGGTGTCCTCCATTACTCTCTCCAACTCCGCTCTCTCCCTGGTGCTCAGGACCGGCACATCGGTACCATTGCTCGCTCGGCATAGCAGTGGTAGCCATGACATTAACATCTTCATTTGTGTCTGCCTTTGTTGCTCTTTCTTGCTTTCTTCACCAAACTGCTCTCCTCCCAAGTCTCGGGCTTGCTTGAATAAGAATGCTACAAATGTATAAATAAAATTAAAGTCATTATAATCTCATGCAATTTGTATGAGTGCGTAATTACAAAGGAATTAGTGTGTGCAAGCACAATGGTACCACATCAATCCCATTAATGGTTTAACCAGTGTCAGTGCACCAAATTAAAGAATGAATAAATGTCATACATGCTTTTAACATTACTGAGAGGTTTAAAAGTTTAATTCCTCTCACTTGCGTTGATTCTTATGTTTGTATTTATAACTGCTCTTTTATTAATTAAAAAAAAATATTAAATTTGCACCAACATATTAATAAAAAAATATATATATTAAAAATCCTAAATGTTTTATTAATACACCTTATAGCTCTTACACCCATACAAAATTTTTACTAAAAATATTAATAAAATATTTAAATTCCTAATATTAATCTTAATAAAAATCATTTATAATTCGACAATTATTCATGGATGTGAATTTTTAAAAAGCATAAAGGGCACTAAAAAGACATGACAATGATCAAAAGTCATAAAATATACATCACAAGTCAAATCTGGAGCATTCTCACTAGGTGACATTATATATATATATATATATATGAAAAAATTAGTCTAGGGTCCCTCTTTCATTTTTCGTAATGAAAGAGATTCGCAAAATTATTTTTTGATGTCTAAGGTTCCTAAATATATCACAGAGAAATTTGACCTTACCAAATCAAAACTCATATCTCTCTCTCTCTCTCTAAACTTCTCCATTCTCAGACCTGTCCAGATCAACTCTTGTTCCTCACCCCTGACTTCATTCTCTAGTCGATTGAGCTTCACTTGCACCGGATCTGACTCGTGCAGCAAATTTAAGAACTCATCTGCGTCCAAACTCGACGGCCTCTGCAGAGCTCGCCTCCTCGAACTCTTAAACGATCTCGACACCGTCAATGATTGCCGCCGTTCTCGCTGTAACTCAGTTCCGGCGCCACCGGTGACACACCTCTCATCTCCAGAAGAGAATGACGATGAACGGCCGGCTATCGTCGTTTTCTTCCTCCTCGTTCCAAGAACGGTACTTCGACATGCCCAGATTCGAAAATGCCAAAATTGGTCGACGAGCACATTGACCAGATCGGGTCGGTGTTGAGAAAAGGCGGGTGGGATGAATTGGATTGTTGTCAACTACAAAGGTGAGGACAAGCAGGTTGCAGTTGAGGAAATTTCTTCCATGGTTCTCATCAAAATGCGTGAGATTGCAAAGGTGTTCCTTGGTTCCACTGTGAAAAATGCTGTGGTCACTGTCCCTGCCTACTTCAATGATTCTCAACGTTAGGCAACAAAGGATGCTGGTGTAATTGCTGGTCTCAATGTGATGCGTATCATCAATGAACCCACTACCGCTGCCATTGCTTATGGTCTTGACAAAAAGGCAACCAGTGTTGGTGAGAAGAATGTGTTGATCTTTGATCTCGGTGGTGGTATATTTTGGTCCAGAGAAATCTAGAGAAATTCTGATTTGAACTAAATTTTCTCTGGGTTGGTCCAGAGAAATTCTTTGTTTGGACTGAATTTTTTTTGATTTGAACTGAATTTTCTCTAGGTTAAAGAGAATTTCTCTGGAAATGTTTCTTTAGGAATTTTATTGATTTTGAGAGAATTTCTCTAGGTTAAAGATGAATTTCTCTGATTTGAATAAATTTTTCTGGGTTGTTAAGGGAAATTTCTCTGATTTTGAGAAAATTTCTCTGGGTTGAAGTGAGTCTAGAGAAATTCTTTCCTGGTCTAGATTTCTCTAGTTTAAAGTTAGTTTGTTTAATTTTCTCTGCCTTTAATTGAGTAAAATTGAATTAGACATCCACAATATTATGTAGAATTAGAGCATTCTCATTCTGATTCAGAGCATTCTCATTCTGATTCACTGAATTGAAATTCTCAGTCCAATTTTACCAAAGAATAACACTAAATTGAATTTTCTCTTGTTTGGACCAGAGAATTTCTCTGGATTAAATTGAATTTTCTCTGGGTTTGGACCAAAGAATTTCACTAAATTGAATTTTCTCTGGTTAAATTTTCTCTGGATTGATGTTGAGGGCCCTTAGACATTATAAAAATATTGAGTGTCCTTTATGCTATAAAATCATAATATCAGGGACCTTAAAAAAAACCTCTATATATTATATACGATTGTATCAGAATTGAAAATTAATTATGAATTAAGATTAAAATTATGTTGAAGCATAAACATGAATAAACTTGTGTGATTAAGAATATTCCACAATCATGTTCCCAATAAATTTCATAAACATACCTGAGACCTTAACAAGAGACCCTTGAATCCGTGGCTCGGCCGAGAGAGATAGCCAAGCCAAGTGTGTAGACGAAGCCCACTTACACACCGCCTCCTCCGCACATCCACAAGCCACCATCTTCTGAGCCAGCCACAGCACCTCCGCGGCCAGCTTCTCGGCTGAACTTCCTGACCATCTCGGCTCCACCCTTTTCCCTAAACGGGCCAACACCATATCTCCATAATACCGAACCGCCCTCAAAACCCGGTTCACGTTACCAAAATCCTCACTCGCCGCCACATCACCACTTGGACCGTCATGATTGCCTTCTCGATCCATCACCGCGGCTTCAAGCTGACTAAGCGTTCTCAAAAAAGCTGCTGAGAGGATCTTATAGTTGACCTCCCGGAGGGCTGCAGAACCCTCCTGATGGTTTTCATCTATAAGCTTCTCCGCTAAAGATCTAACAACTTCATACTTTCGTGAACTCACCGGTATGCCGTTAACAATCGACAACAACTGCGAAAGAGCTCTCCCAATACCCGATTCCCCACCCCCACCACCGTTGCCTCCACCTCCAGTATTGGTGGAAACGAAATTATCGGTGATCGGGGACTTTAAACGGTAACCATAGTTAGTTTCTGAGGACGGGTCGAGAGAGGGGAGGAGGCGGAGGAAGGCGGAGATGAGGAGGTAGCGGAGGAGCTGGAGGAGCTTGTACTTTTGGGCTAAAGTCTGAAGAGATTTGTCTGCATAGATAAACAAAGATGTCAAGAGGTTTCTGAGAAGCAAAGGAGATATGGTTGTGGGTGAACCAAAGCTTTCCTTCATAGCTTTTGTTTTGCTCTTTGGTTTCTGTGTCTCTTCTAACTATTATGGACTGTATAAATTATGTTTTTGTGTGTGGTGTGCGTGATTGTTGAATATATAGATTATATTATATGGGTTGGGATGTCAATGAATGGATGGTGTTGTGTTGATGTAATTTGAATAAGGCAAAGAACAAGTGGGACAAAGTTCTGTGGTTGATGAGGACAATCGTGGGTTGTGTCTGGAGAATTCGGATGTTTTACAAGTATTAAGTTCAACGTACAATAATATTAATAATTATTTAAAAACAAAAAATTTACCACACAAAAATAAGATATCACTTGAACTCGTGTTTGGCGCCGTTGAAATGCTGATATGTAGTGAAATGGTGGTCTCTCTCTCTCTCTCTCTCTCTCTCTCTCTCTCTCTCTCTCTAGATACGCGTATTCTCTCTCTCTACATGTATAATTTGAGACCAGAATGTTTGGTTTGAGTTTGCGAGATGTGTTTTAGAGTTAAAATGTACGAAAAGTTATTTAGTTTGATTTTTTTTAAAAGATGTTTTGAAAAATTATTTTGAGAGAGAGTTTTGGAAAAAGTGATTGATTTGATGTGCATGAGAGAGAGATTTGTTTGGAAAACTTGTAAACCAAACAGTTTTGGGAAATTTTTTTGAAAAAAATTTGTTTGTTTTGATTACTTTTGAAAACTTATTTGTATAGAATTTTTCTCAAAATTTTTTGAGAAACACAAACCAAACAAGGCCGTCGTACTTCATCTATTTTTGTCATCTTTTGTATGTCATTAAAGAAACAAGAATGACAAATAATATATTCTCGGATAAATTATACTTATCTCCCTGAGATTTTTGATAAATACAAAAATTATTTTAATGATTTGAATAATTACACAAATTTTTCTTACTTTAACTGACATTGTCAAGATTCTCCCTTATGTAATATTTAGAGCATCGCCAACGGTAATAGGCATTTTACCTATGTAAACATTACTATAAAGTATATATTTTATTTTGCCTATCAAATTTTTTTATGTTTCTACTCCAACCATACTCTTTATTTTTAGCTATTCATCTAAATATTATTAATTTTATAAAATGCCACATCAGCAACAAAAATAGAGGAAAATGATCCTAATGATTAAATACATTTTGCCTAACCTTAAAGGCTGGCTACATGTAGCTAGTAAATGTAAGTTGAGCTAAAATGCTTAATCATATGTCTAGTGCCTTGGAGTTAAAAAAAAGGAGTTATACTAGGCATTTTGACTAACAAACATAATATACCTAGTGGGTTGGAGATGCTCGTTACTTATATATATTAAATATATTAAATAAATTTATTACCCTTGCATATATTCCGTCAGCCCCTCTATTTATGTCATGCATAATTAAATTATGAATTATCTTTTAGGATATGTAAGTTGAGCTAAAATGCTTAATCATATATCTAGTGCCTTGGAGTTAAAAAAAAAGAGTTATACTAGGCATTTTGACTAACAAACATAATATACCTAGTGGGTTGGAGATGCTCGTTACTTATATATATTAAATATATTAAATGACTTTATTACCCTTGCATATATTCCGTCAGCCCCTCTATTTATGTCATGCATAATTAAATTATGAATTATCTTTTAGGATTTATTACCCTTATTACTTTGCTTTTGTGGATTTATTTTTTTTAAAATATTAAAAAATATTTAAGAAAATCTTATTTTTTATTTTAAATATATAATTTTTATTTTAAATATTTTTAAATATTTTATTTTATTTTATTTTGTAAATATTTTAATTTGTTTAAATTTTAATATTTTAAACTCAAAATACAATTCCACACTTAAATCATAACCAAACACATAACTCAAAACTCAATTTAAAAATTATTTTCAAAACTCATAACTAAACACATAACTCGAAACTCCACACTATTTTCAAAATTCTACACTCAAATCATAACCAAACATATAACAAAAAAAATTAAATATTTAAAAATATATTTATAAAATAAAATATTTAAAATAAAAAATAATTTTTTTTACATTTGTTAATATTTAAAAATGATAATTAAAATATTTTAAAAAATACAGCACATAAATATATGAAATATAATGCACATTAAAATACATAAATAAATATTTAAAATATAAAATATTTATCCTAAAAAAAATAAAATTAAGAAAGTTTTTAAATATTTAAAAAAAAATAAATCCAAAAAATTTCAAAATACAACTTAAAAGTCTTTTCAAAACTTATAAATAAACAAATTTTCTCTTTTCAAAATTCAATTTAAAACTCATAATTCAAAACACGACTCCACACTCAAATCATGATTCTAAAAATAATTAAAAAAAATGAAATAAAAAAATATTTTTTAAAATTTTCTCTTTTAAAGTAGAGTTTTGAAGAATTGTGTGTTTTTGAGTTTTGAAAATAATTTTTGAATTGAGTTTTGAATAGTTTTGAGTTATGTATTTAGTTATGAGTTTTGAAAATTTTTAATTGGAATTGTGATTCCAAGAGAGAACCAAACATGTTTCTTTTTTATTATTTGGCTAATTAATTGTTTATATTTCTAATTTCACCTCATTGTAAACTAAAATTTTGATTAGGGTAATACTATAAAATAAATAAAAAATAAATAAATTTAAAGATAAATTACATTGACTACTTCTAAGAATTAGGGGGGAAAAATATAAATTTGACATAATTACATAAATCTCCTTTTATTAGGGTGAAAAAATATAAATTTTATAAATTTGACATAATTACATAAATCTCCTATTTAGTAAGATTAAATTGATAAAAAAAAAAGAAGTAATGTATATAGTGTGTAAACACTAAAATAAATGACAACATATATATATATATATTTTTCTGTATATATGACCAACGAATTATTGGGAAAAAAAATAAATAAAGTGTTATCTAAATTAAAATATTATGGCAATATAATGTGGGGAAGTATTTTGTGAATGACAGTATGTGGCTAAGGTGATGCCAAAGTATTAGCCGAGGTGCCACGTGCCCTGATCATATTACCGAGGTGATCTTGGCTAGGCCGAGGTTATCTGTGGAGATACATGAATCTGAGATAAACAGATAAGGGACAGGAGTCCTAGAACAAGGGAGGATCTCAGTCTGGATAGAGATAAGGCTCAAGAAAAGCTTATCTTTATCTAGATGAGGGTCCATGATGAGTATGGAGCCCGAGTCCCATGAAGTGAGGCTTCTAAGGGAATCAGGTCACTGCTGGGTATAAAAGCAGGACACCTTCGTGGGTTTAAGGTAAGTTCTTTCTTGTGAGTTTAAGCACAATTTGCTATTTTTGAGAAATATTGATTACTGACTTGTTCGTTGGAGTGCCCCCAGGTGGCGAACCACCACAGTATTCTTATCTTCTTGTTGCATGTTGTTGGGCTTAATCTATTCTGCCGGTGCTCTTCAACTGAGTTCTCCGTTTGGTTGTGAGGTTAAAAATCAGCACCCACAATTTAGCGTTGTTTGTGGGAACTCAGTAAGAACAGATGGCCAGACAGGAAGAAAAGATTGGGGATGACATTATCAGTGAGAGTGGTGAGAATACAGATTCTAACGCCGGAGAGAAAAATCGTAATGAAGAAGCACAGGATTCGAATCCAGAGGAGAAGGACGTCGGCAAAAAGGGTAACGCCCTGAAGAAATCATACCTAGATGAGTATTACAACGAAAGCAACCTCCAGGTATGGAAGGATAGATGCCTGAGGAGGGACGATGAAATGAAAGGAATGACAAACAAGTTAGTAGACCTACAGTCGGTTGTCAACTTCATGATGCAGAACAACGTGATGCAACCACCGTTCCCATTGTAGGACATGCTAGTACCAGCGACAAAGAATGATGCCTAGAAAGGGGGGAAAAAAACAATTCCAATAGTCCCACAGCATGGCAAGGAAAAATAGCGCTCATGTCGGCCTTCACGGGATGTCGGGTAAGCTGAGTTAGTGAGAGGTGAGTCACAGAAGATGCCTCGTACCAAGGGAACTTATGTCAGAGAACCTCAGCATGTCAAGGGAAAGGGCTCGTGTTTTGATACAGTGAATGAAGAGAAGTCGAAAACGATGCACAATGACGCTGTGAGCAGCGCGTCAAAAAGGCTGAAATCTGTTGATAGCCAAGCTCCCAGCCGAACGAAGGAGGATCTAAGAGACTACCTCTAGAGGAAGCGACTCAACACTGAGGTAACATCTTCCTTCAAGCCAAGGACACCGTTCTCAGTGGAGTTGGATAGGTTTGAGGCCCCAAAGAGAGTCCACATGCCAAGGTTCCAACTTTACGATGGTAAGTCTAATCCGAACTTTCATATTGGTTTATATTTAAATTTAATGGCTTTGTGGAGTCGGAATGAGCAGTTGGTGTGCAAGGTGTTCCCTTCATCCTTTGGAGAAATCGCATTGGACTAGTTCCACAAGTTGCCGAAAGGAACTGTGAAGAATTGGGAAAGCCTGGCCGAAATGTTTGTGGCCAGGTTTGTTACAAACAAATTACAGCCACTCAGGGTGGACTCCCTGCTGGCTTTGAACATTAGCGAGGGTGAGAGTCTCAGGGCTTACGCCAAGAGATATTACGAGGTGTTCAATCGAATTCCTGCTTACAACCAGGAGCTAGCGGTTGTGTCTTTTAAGAATGGCTTAGAGGATAAATGCCGCTGCAGAAATTGCTGGCAAAGACCCTACCAAAAAGTATGGAGGAACTCATGGCATGGATCGAGAAATATGCCAGGACAGAAAATGATAGGCTAGGAGCAAAGACACCAAAGCAAGAGAAGAAAAACGGCTCGCCTAGGTGAGGCCAAGGTAATGCTGGTTTTAACAGGCAGGAAACAGGGTTGAGGGCTGCACAAGTAGTCACCACTGTATTCAAAATCCTATTCTACAAAGTCTTGGAAAGGATCAGGAACCAATCGTATTACAGAGCATTGGAGAAGATCCCAGGCGAGTTTATGGGAAGGAGCCTTGAGAAGTATTGCGCTTACCATAATGAGGATGGGCACTTGACTCAAGGATGTAGGGCTTTGAAGACACACTTGGAGGATTTGGCCAGATAGGGTCACTTGAGAGACCTAGTAGATGAGGCCAGAACAAGGAA